TCCATATAGTACATCCTAGAACGATAGTTTACATACAGTCCCATATAGTACATCCTAGAACGATAGGTTTACATACAGTTCCATACAGTACATCCCAGAACGATAGTTTACATACAGTCCCACATAGTACATCCTAGAACGATAGTTTAACATACAGTCCCATATAGTACATCCTAGAACGATAGTTTACATACAGTCCCATATAGTACATCCTAGAACGATAGTTTACATACAGTCCCATATAGTACATCCTAGAACGATAGTTTACATACAGTCCCATATAGTACATCCTAGAACGATAGTTTACATACAGTTCCATATAGTACATCCTAGAACGATAGTTTACATACAGTTCTATATAGTACATCCCAGAACGATAGTTTACATACAGTCCCACATAGTACATGCTAGAACAAAAGTTTACATACAGTCCACATAGTACATCCTAGAACGATAGTTTACATACAGTCCCATATAGTACATCCTAGAACGATAGTTTACATACAGTTCCATATAGTACATCCCAGAACGATAGTTTACATACAGTCCCACATAGTACATGCTAGAACAAAAGTTTACATACAGTTCCATATAGTACATCCTAGAACGATAGTTTACATACAGTCCATATATATCACCCTAGAACGATAGTGTTCTTTCAACACTTTTTGTTGTTTTGACTTTTTTCTTTCAATACTTTTTGTTGTTTTGACTTTCTTCTTTCAATACTTTTTGTAAGTCCGTGTTTGTGTATTCGCTTATAATTGGCGAATCGCTGGATCGATTGTTACCAAACTTATCCGAAGGGTACCATCAGCTAGTTTTGTATAAACAGAAGCTTGTGGTGATTGGACATTCAAAATTTGACATTAGAAAAGTTATCTTTTTCGTTCTAGTATATCAAGTAACACTGCTTGCTATTGCATTGAAATCCGCAAGGTATAACATACACACAACTATGTTTTCTAGCATCTATAACAACTAGAACGTTGAGAAGTAACAGTAGTTTCTGTGGTTGGTTGTTTGCATTTATCCACAACTGGATAACTGCTGTGCTGTACCTACCACGAGTATGAAAACCTGGTTACTAGCGCTCTAAGTCCGCTGTGCCACTGGGTGGTTTATGTGAGGATTAAAGATTTGGTTTTAAATATTTAATACGTTTATCTAAAGCAAATAGCTCTGAATATTTAACTTAACTCAAATTAATAACCATTTAGGTTAACATTTCTTTATGAAAAATAGAATTAATAAATGGATGAAAGAAATGCAAGGGGAATCATCAGCTAATTCAATTGTGTTTCTAATAAATTCTAAAATAATTAAGGAAATGTTATAAGATTTGTAGTTCCTCTGGTATGTCACTAAAACTAATATATATATATATATGTAATATTTGTGCTAGTATATTTGGAAGCTGGGTTTAATCATAGCTTTTGGAGGCAAGATTAGATAGATTTCAGCGTTTTTGTTTTAGCGCAAAGCTACATGATATCCACAGCGTGAATCGACCCCCGGATTTTAGCATTGTACGTCTGTAAACTTCGAGAGGGTGATAGGCTTGGAGTGTGTTGAGAAAAGGGAGGAAGTGAGGGGAAGGGGGGGAATAGCATGGCAAACTCTCAAATGCCTTTCAATAGTTTTAAATGTTTACTTTGTAAAGTTTCGAGTATGCCTTCCTTATTGTTAACAAAACAAACTGCTGTTAAGTTTCACACGTCCCTCTGGTGAGCTGTTGAAACAAAAATATAAACTCGCTCAGTTAAATCATTGGCCCGAATTGTGAATTCGCGTCCCGTTTCCGCAAAAACGCGATCCACACTATAGGCCGTTGGTGCGTTATAAGAGTGACGGTCAATTCCCACTTTCGTTGAGACAAAAGTACCGCAAGAGCTAGTAGTAGGTGGTGTTGAATAGATGTCTTCCCTTTATTCTATCAACTCCAAATTAGGGACGTCTATGTGTGGATAACTTTTTGTAGCTTTAGCTTTGCACGAAAATTACAAAACTAAGTCATCACATATGCAAGAATAACAAAATCCATTCATAAATATTCCGTAATGCTCACTAAAGTAAATGTATTACAAATTCAAGATCACGTGTCTGAAAGAGTTTTCATTTTCAACAACACGTGAATCAGTCACTTGTGATACCTATAGTCTTTATTGCCCCCAGTGGCATAGCGGTATGTATGGTGGGCAGAGCTTTGTGGTGTTTTGTGCTTAATTTCAAACAAATAGTCTTTATATTTTATTCTTTTTTATTGTTCAATTTTCTCATCTCATTCCTTTCAAAACTAATTTACTTCTTATACTAAACAAAATCAAATCATTGTATTTGCCTATTATAGAATATTATAAGGGGGGTCGTTATTTATCCTTGTCTTCCAGGTAATATTTTATTCATATAGAGTCTCGCAAGATCAACAACACATTAAAACACATGAATCCTAACAAACTTATTATTATTATCCCCCTTGGTAGACTTGGTTGACCAGGAGTGTGTAAAAATTTAGTCTCACAAGATTATCAGAACATTATTACCAAATCCCGACAACTTACTGTGATCCTTGGTGGCCTTGGTTTAGCAGGAACATATTAAAACCTACAGTCTCACAAGATTATCAGAACATTAATACTGAATCCCGACAACTTACTGTGATCCTTGGTGGCCTTGGTTTAGCAGGAACATATTAGAACCTACAGTCTCACAAGATTATCAGAACATTAATACTGAATCCCGACAACTTACTGTGTCCCTTTGTAGATTTGGCTGAACAGGAATGTGTTAAAACCCACATAAGTAAGTGTAAACACAAATAGCTTAGATGAACTACTATGTTATTGATAACATATGTTGCTGCCACTTTTGAAGCGTAAACTACTATGTTATTGATAACATATGTTGCTGCCACTTTTGAAGCGTGAACTACTATGTTATTGATAACATATGTTCCTGCCACGTTTGAAGCGCAAACAAAATATCTTTAATTAGTAAGAACAAAATGTACTTAGAATGAAATCTTTCAGAGCAACTTTCTGTTGGTTGGTTTCCAACAAAAATCTACGCGA